CTCTCACATGTATGAATATTTAATATCTTCTACTCAGTTCTACTTAATAATTGAAGAAATTATGTCTAGAAGAAGATAGAGAAGATACAGGATTTCAAATTCACAGCTGTGATATTGAATATTGATCTTCTTATAAAGAAGATCTGTTCACAGCTTAATTCTTCAAAAGATAAATAGAATCTATAGAATACAGATTCTGCGCTTAATACAGCTATAATAGCTACAATAATTATAATATCTATCAATTTCAATAATAATACATTGAATTCGGCCTGTGAAGACTGTACTGAATGTGATTATAATAGTACTCAAGAGAGCTTCTGAAACTATCAGAGATTAAAAAATTTATCTATATATTCTGAATACAAGAGATCTTACTTTAGTATCTGTTAATTAGCTAATTCGGACAGTACTCTGAATAATTGAAGAATTCACAACACTGTGAGAATAAAGAAATTCAAAGAAAAGAAGAACAATAATAAGAGTACAATTCAACTATTTATTACAGATAACTCAGACACCTTTCAGATAGTAAATCTCACAGAGATGATAAATGTATCAGTCTGTTTCATGAAATCTCACAAGAATCTTCTTACTATATAAAATAGTGACGCCGGATGCCACATTGTGAGTGATAAATCATGATTTTCAGAGCTAATAGTAATTAACAGTTTAACAGTTTAAGTGACTAACAAGGTTATTCTGAAGGTTCAGAGTATCAGCACTACATTTATCTCAGTGAGTGAAAGATTGATAGAGTTCAATTAGATATATCATGTATCAGAACTATTCACAAATCTGATCTCTGCAGAACTTATAAAGTGTCAGAGCTATATTCACTGTAATATATAAGTTAATGCTGAGAACTACTTTGAGTTTCTATCATCTATTAACAGTGATATCTTCTATATTAATCTATCTTATAATAATATCTACATTCTTTCTGACAGTTTATTAATATTTCATGATGTAATGAACAATCTGATGTATAAAGTGGTGATAAATATAACTATTCTGAAATTAAAGACAATCTCAACAGATTACAATCTGAATACAGAGTCTTTGAGATTATTCAGTTATAAGAAGATTGAACAGTTAATCAACTCTAAGAATTCAGATACTGATTTCTTTGCTATCTTATTTTTATCTTAATTATCTGCAGTTCTTCTGAAACAGCTTCTGATAGATAAGTAACATCATCAACTTAGTCATATCAGTAAAAATAGTATATTAAAAATAATCAGAGATCTGTGATTTGATATTATCATTATCAGTCTGAAAAAATTATCATCTCATTTCACATGTGTTAAGACTAAACAGAAACATACTTTCTATAAGAATTTCACACCATGTCATGCCACCTGCAAGGCCTTGAATATTTGAGTAAATATATTCAGTGATAATGAGACTCTTGAAACTGAGAATGATATATTATCTTATACTGACAAGAAGCTTGTAATGATGATTACAGATAATATCATCTGTATAAGATGAATATTTCTACTGAAATGAAAGAATGAGATATTGAGATATCTACAGATCTTCAATCAATTCATCAAGAATCTGCTGAGACATGGCATTGCAATCATTCACTCAGATTGTGAAGAATTGAATTTAAACATAGTTAAAGTATATATACTCAGTGAAGAAATAAAATGAGAGCTGACTTCTCTTTATACTTTACAGTAAGATTAAGTATCTGAACAATCAATCAGTTTAATTATTAAGAAGTTTCAATCACTATTAATAGATTCTTCTACTTCTGAAAAGATGTGAGATGAGACAGTTATTACAGCTACAGAGCTGCTTAATCTTATATCAATCTTAATAATATTGTATAAAGACTCTGAAAATACAAAGCTGATTACACTGTATAAGGTCTGACTTGAAGCTCTATCTTCTGCATACAGCATTCACTGATGAGGGTGCAAAGCATTCTTGAAAATAGTTCTCCAGCTCATTAATAATATGACTTTCTGTTTCAAAGAGTTGATTTCTATAAGATATGATGATTTTACTAATTATAGATTAATGAATTCCTTCAACAGATATTTATACATATCAAAAGACATTATCTTTCAGAAGAATCTTCATCTTACTGATTTATTGATACTGATAATACACAATCTGAAGATTCTACTCAATATTGTCTGTAAAGTGACTGTGATAATTTCTTCAGTGACATCAGACCTACTCACTGCAGTCTGTCAAGAGACTGCAGTGATTTCTAATTCATCAATTGATAATCTATTCATTGATAAGAAAATTCAACCTGAGTGTTCATTATTTCTCATACTCACTAATAATTGATGAATTGACTATGATATCTCTGTGAAAATATCTTTCTTTTTAGTGCAGAATACACTGAACTCTCTGAAACTCACAGTTGAATCTAATGATTCTCTGACATCTATGAGAGATATCACTATAGTGAGAAAATCTACAGTGAGAGAATTTTCAGTAAGAGACAGTCTTGAAGATCTATTCACTGATCTCAAGATCACTGCACTTCTGATTCTGAAAAACCTCACATGTATCAAAGCTTTCATGAAATGGAAATATTATTATAAAATCTGTGTTAAAGAGATTAACTATTTAAAACAGATTGAGATCTGATAACTGATTAAGAGAATATCACAAATGAGTGTTTCTTATGATCAATGAGTATTTGACAAAAAGTTCAATAATATGAGTGAGATTATTCACTATAAGACCTGCTGAATTATCTGCAGAAATCATCAATAGAAGAGAATTAATTACTTAAGAATCTTTGTATCTATTATCTCTGCATTCATCTCTTAAGCTCTTATGACAATCTCAGTATTCTGAGAATAATATATTCTACAGATTGATATGATAATCACTTTTTTAAATACTCAGTTATCTGCTGATGAACAGAATATATATAATTCAACTCATAGAATTTCACAAAGACTGTAATAATCTTATATATAAATTAATACAGAGACTCTACAGTCTTAAGCAAGCAGTACTCTTATAATATAAGAAGCTGTAAAAAATGCTATTATACTCAGACTTTCATATCAGTCTCTATAATACTGAATTATTTATTCATGATAAAAGATAGATCTATATAATTATCTATATAAATAATATTTATCTCTACAGTCTGAAAATTGATGATCTGAACTAGACTGGCTGCTGAGACTATAAATTTCACATTTGATCTCATTTGATCTGATCTCATACATTTCTTGACGTGAATCCCGCTGAGACTAGTCATTAAAAAAACATGCAAAGTGACTATATATGAGATCTTAAAATGAAATCATGACTTGAAAAAAATGAGAAAGTGATTTCATTTGATCTCATTTAGTCTCATTCTTGGCATAAAGTTACTATTTTTAGATATTTTAAGGTTTTTTTTAGACTATTTTTAATTTTTTAAAAAGTAACACTTTTTGATAACACTTAAATGAGATTTAAAGTCATTTAAAGTAATAAAAATAATTTAAATTGAGAAGTGAAAATCATGATCTCATTTGAAAAATGTGATAAGAGTAGACAGTAAGTCTCACTGAGACAGTATGAAACTACTATCTAATGTTAAAACTGTGTAATGGAATCGGTCAAATTGATAATAAGACTATCAAAAAATCTGGTTCTGGTCTCAGACACGGTCACACGGTCAGTCTAATCTGAACTGAGTCAAAGCTGAAATCATTACTAATTATAAGATTAAGAATATAGAGAATTTCAACTGCTATCTGAGAATGAAGATTAATAGAGATTTAACTTTATTAATATTATCTTAATCTCTCTTTATAAGAAATCTTCTGAAGAAATTCTTAATAAATAACTGTTACTCTATATTCACTTCTATGAAGAAGAATATTGATTTTATGAATAATAATAAGAAACTGATTATAAATACAGTAGAATTTACTTTATAGTTCTATCAATCTGATATCAGATCTCTGCAATATCTGACAATTAATACATGTCTTAATATAAGCTTTATCACAGAATTTCTTGAATAATTCAGCTTCTAATCTATATTAAAGAATTGAGCTGTATACAAGTATACACTCTGATATCTACAGAGTTTAATCAATGAAGATATAATCTATCACAGAAGTGCTGATATTGAATCTGTGATATATACAGATACTGATTGAGTCAGTAGATATTCAGAATTCTGTTCAATTATTAGTTATATTATCTATATGACAGATGACTCTGTTGCATGACAGAGCTGCTGATAAATAGAGATCTTTAAATTATTAACAGAGATGGAATATATTACATTATCTGAGACTGTATATAAGCTTATTCTGTCTCTGTGAGCTTTTTGAAGATGCTGAATTCATTTCATTCTATCTTAACAATCTGAATACTGATAATTATCTCATTCTCATCACAGTTAATAATCTTACTTATATAATTTATACTAATAATAAGTTCATCATAAAGCTATTATCTTCTGAAGCAATTTCACACTGCTCAAAGTATATAGAGATCTGTTTTCACATTCTTCAGAATCTTATCTGTAAGAATGAGATATCTATTCAATATGTTTTATCTGCTGAGAATGTGATGAATGAGCTTACTAAATTACTTGAAACAATGAAATATATGTGTTGAAAGAAGAATATAAAGAAGATAGAGAGATAGAGAGATCAAAAATGATGTATCTCATGACTGATTTTTCATTACTACACATTTTCCAGTCATTTTTTGTACCTGTACTTGATTTGAAGGCGAATTTTGTATATAGCATAGTGTATAGTTACTCTGGTGAGTGGGGGTGTCAGGTCATGTGATCTAGCTTACTAATCCTTCCACCATATAACTTCCCACAAGCTAGCAACCTTTTCAATCAAGCAAGCTTTACACCTTCCACAGAAACCAGGTCTACAGATCTAGGTCAATTTCTTCCAACGCGAAATGTCCATAGATTATCCCTTCGCTTTGGTGAGACCAGATCTGGGCAGGGAATAATACGTCAGTCGCCCAATGCACAGAGACAACAGATACCTTCATGATCCCCGGAGATAGTCACTTAATGCTAGCGCCGGAGACCAATAACAGAATTTCAATTGGGCTATTGTCTTATGAAATACAACTAAATAGAATCAAAATTTCAATGATAAACCCATTGTGACGCTACCACTTGCTGCTTGGAAATATTTCCCTCCTACTCTACCACAACCTCTACATTGTTCCTTGCACTTTTTCTGGTTTTGGAAAACCCCACAAATCATACTCTTCAGCTGCTGGTTGGTCCTCATCAGCATACATGACAGGATCCAACTCAGTGGGAATATCTTTTTCATTGAGCGATTCCAGTTGTTCCACTCCGTGCCACACAACTTCGATGGAAGGGGAATCTTCACACGGTGACCCTGATCCAGGGCTACTAGCGTCCTGTGGTACTGGCTCAGAGCACTCAATTATACAACCTTCCTCCAGTTCTGACTCAGAGTGCTCATCCACCGGACTCTCTTCTGCCAGCTCAGCATCACAAGCTGGTTGCTCAGCCTCATATGTCTCACCCGGTCATTCTTGATCCGCGTCCTCGAGAGCCTGTCACCATATATCTCCACCAGGAGTTTCACCAGCATCCGACTAAATGTTGGAGTCTCACCAATATAGCCCCTAAACCAATCTTGCGCAAACAATGTCTCATCTTCATCAAACACATTCTCAAATCAAGCGGTGTAGAAATGTAAAGGCATGAATACAGCTGGTGACTCCACATATAAGTGCATGTCGAGTTATGCAGCCTTGTTGCATTGTCAAAATGCAAATGGTCAGTCATGATGTCAACTGCATACATATGTTGATGAACAAAAGTGGAAAAGGAGAACAAATGCTGGAGGTCTGTGCTACAATGCTGGCCATCGGGGGGTATTTTCCTGCCATTGATATTGGCTCTTTGTTGGCATCATGGTGAATGGAACAGCCTGAAATAACCCTCTGATAATGTCCCTTCAGGGCGGAGGTTGTTGGAGAGTCATCCCCAATGTTGGCCATTCATTGGGTGGTTTCAACTTGCTTGTACTTACCTTTTGAGCATCCTCAATCAAATGTTCGCTCATACCCGGCGCGTATCACTCATCTTATGCCCTTCAATAGGTTGACCAAGTATATACTGTTGTCCAGCTCTTTCCTGCACCTGCTCCTGTCAGTAGAGCTTGGCTGAGATGATATGTTCTCAATTCCCCTCATACCCCACTTCCAGCCCTAGGCCCCAAGTCCCGTGCACCAATTCAATTTTGATCATGCATTTTTCCTTCCTGACCTGTGCTCAGACCATGCTACGCCGCAAAGATATGACCTGGGCTTGTAGGCAGAGGTAGCGTCTTTCTCATTGAACACCTTCGGAGTGACAGGTTCCATTTCATCTAACACCACATGGAGATCAGCTGCTTGCTTTGGTATCTCACGCGTTCCTACATAAAACGGGTCATGAGCTTGAGATTTTCTCCCCTATTGGCATTTGATTGTTATATTTTTCAGCGTGAGTCTTGCCACAGCAATGAGATGAAGAACAAGCAAATTAATATAAAAAGGGGACAAGTTTAATTTCTAAAGCCATAAAGGCTTTGGGCACCTCTGGCTGATGAGATATGGAACTCAAACTAACTTCCATCAGTGACACATCCCTGCATGAGTCGGCGTATTCTCCGCGCTTTCAGCTGGAGGTTGCATCCTTGGCGGCAGTCAGTAGATCGTGGAGATAGTAGATTGAGTATGCTCGAAAGAGTTTGTGTGGTTGGTCGATCCAGTCGCTACAAACGTGATAGACAATTTCGAGGGTAAACTCGCTGGCTGCCAAGAGATCATAGCTCAGCATATACCTCAGGTGGGTATTTGATAGGTACTTGTATGCGTCTCGCTCGACATACAGACTCTTGGAGAGCTTCGCGCCCGACCAATCCAGGATTGCAGGGCTGTAAAGTATGATGGGAGGCTTGCCGGCCGAGGTGGTGGCGAGTGGGCGCCATAGAAGCTGCTCCTGATAGAAGCCGGCGTAGTCGGCGCCAATGACCTGGATCCAGTGCGCGGCTGGGTCGCTGCAAAAGAGCTGATTGCGAAGCAGGTTTCGCATTGGTGTGTTGAGCTCCAGCTTCGCCGTCTGCTGCGGGTCACGAAGGCTCAGCGCAAAGTTGCCGTGTGTTGGGCAGTGAAATTCAATACAGTCCTCCAAGTACCGATTCCGAATTCCCGCCTTGTCAGCTAGCCCACACGCATGGTTGGGGCAAGCCGCTCTCACTCCAATGCAGCCGTTCTTGGGCGAGAATAGCGCACCAAGCTGGCAGTGCTGCGATATGATCTCACGGAGATTCTCGAGGGCTGTGCTGCTGCTTAGAATGTCCGCTTGCATTCTCACTGTATAAGCAACACCTGAGACTCGAGAGAATGCCTTGAGGATTTCATTGAATTGGCAAAGATATGTTTTGTCGACGCCCCTCCAGCGGAGACTTCTCTGGTACAGGACCCCGTTGATTTGAAGATTGCTATCTAGTTCCGGTGCTGGGGCAGTGTCAACTGAGTCAAAGTATACGCAAACAATCTTCCCAGCTCTCTGCAAGTGCTGACCCAGTGCAAAGGCTGTTGCTATGTTTGTTATGTTGCCTATGTGAGGAGAGGAGTTCGGTTGCGCGCCGATAAAAATATTGATCTGTGTCTCGGCGATGTGGGTGCGAATCCAGCCGATGAGGTCGTCTCGGAAATAGTATGACCCAGCTCCCAAGGGGTAGTGCCCAATACCATCGTGAGGAAGGGTGTAATCCATGGTGCCAATCCAGTTGACACTGAGTAGCGATATTGCTAGTATTTGTTCCACTAAGGCTAGGTACAGGTTCACGAGAAGTTCAAACATGAAGAAGGAAAGGAAACGGGCAACGGAGCCCGGGAGGACTCGCCTTATAAACCCCCTTCGGAGCTTCTATGCTCTTCCATGCTTGAGCTCACTGAAGCAACTCATTCATGCTTGTCGTACGGAAGCATCAATAGTCTGCTCGCTGCCGTGTCACCTACGCCGTAGGTGATGAGCCAGAGAAGGGGGCAGACAGAGAATGAACGAAAGAGGCGCTGAGACGGGGGTCTTACAGGATGACATGTCTACTTCTCCATCTCTCAATTCAGACATCGTCCCCGGTCCCCGCGGACGCAGAGGACATATATCCTCATGACGGACCAGCCTGTGTATTGACCCTCACACCTACCGCGACTCGCTCGCAATTATCTTATTGGGCTGTAATGCAGCACTGCTATCTGAGAATGCTTGAGGCGATTTAGACTTGAACCTCATGGCTGAGCAATCAGCGGCGAACTGGATGATAGAACGAATGACGAATCAACAGAATGTCTATTAACTTGTCTCTTAAAGCTTTGGGTAAGTATAATGACTAATTTGTAACAGGAACTTGAACCAAACATGTTACGTTCTACTTGATGGTCTCTTAAACCTTGGTCTTTCATTTTTGCTAATCATAGGATCAGAATCTGGTTCTTCCACACACAACGCTGAGAGTTAGTCTTTTGGTTTTCTCCTTTCTTACTCTTCTATATGATTATGATGATGATGATACTGATCTTTTAGCCACTGATTAATCTTTGATGGTTTCTAACTAAGTTAACTACATAATAGTAAGAGTGTTAAGGGGAAATCTCTGCGCCGAGGCGCTTGCACCATTCTTTCCAAATAGGCTTAGCGTGAGTTGATTGAACGAGGTAAGTTACCTAAGGTAGGATTGAAGTGAGGAATTGGTGGTCACTACTGTCTGTTCGCGAGATTCCAACCGTGATTCCAACCTGACGCGTTCTCCCACCAGTCACGATTTTCTCATCCACTCTGTCAATTGTTTCGATGGCAACGAGAGGCTTCAAGAGTGATATTGTTATCGCACTTCATCCTCAACACGTTGCGAATATTGTTCTCCGTGTCAAAAACCATGAATTCCGGAAGTACCTTCTCCCACCACATATCAAACGACTCTGGATCTACGAGACAAGCCCTGCATCAGCCATTAAATATGTTGCCACTATCAGTGCTGGCAAGCAGCCGGGTGAGATCCGCGATTCTAGTGGCCTCCGGAATGATGAGTTCGACCAAGGCAAGTTGGAGCACCTAGCTAGGTATGCCTACGAGATTCAAAAGTTAGAGGCACTGCCGAAGATTATTTCCTTGAGTGATTTGAAGCAGAATGGCTGGCTCAATGGCCCTCCTCAGAAGTACTGCTATGTCAAAGACGCCATGGATCAAGCTCTGAGTGCCTTGCCGTTAAGTCTGGTTTTCGAGTCCACTTCGAGTCGGCGGGTACCAGGGCACTCTAGCAATCTGGAGATTGAACCGAATCAAGAAAAGAACCAAGTCCAACCCAGAGGGATAGTCAAGGGTCAAAAGCATAATAGTAAGTTTGCCACTATGGAAAGACTTTCTCACTGTGGCTGTTCTGACAACTATGCCTCCCAGCCTCACATCAGTCCACCCCTACTCCCCGGTCGCGACATCGCTTAGGCGTTCGAAAGTCAAGAAAAGTCGAAGGTCCTGGCAAGGCAAAAGTAGGATCACAGCCTCATTGGCTCGGCAGCGCAACAAAAGCATTGGATGACAGGCAGCAAGAAGGATAGACAGATGGTCAGAAGCACCTCATTGATATGGATGTTCTAAAGTCTCATGTCCTTGAGAATACATGGTTGACAAGAGAAAGGAAACATAGTAATGGGCAGATCCCATAGACCATAATCAAAATCCACCGCCAACCCCCACAACCACGCTCAAAAAAGCTGCTACATGCAAACTTCATCCATAATTGTGCGGATCGTTAGCATGTATGCCAGTGTATTCTCCCACCTTCTCCGCTGCAAAGAAAGCCTAGTTGGCATTGGGAAGGGCCGGAGATATCGATGGCAAGTCTATGCCCACTACTAAGGACGCTTGGTTTTCCACTCTTGTCTAGGTCGTCCGTCTTTCAAGTCACCCGTCATCCAGGTCACCCGTCTTCCATCTTTTACGTCGCCCGTCAAGCGGGCGCAATGCAAAGGAGTGTATCTGTTTTCAGTCAATGAGGGAGATGTCGTCGGGTTGGAACTGAGAGAAGAAACTCGCAGAATCCCAGTGAAGGATGCCGCCACTGAAGGAACTGCACCAAAAATCTCTCCACGGTAGGTGCGAACGGCACACCCGGCACACCGCCCTTAGATAGACATGATCATGAATACGAAGAGTGTGACCACGAGAAGACCGTTGCAAAGGACACTGCTACATTTGTGGGCCGATCATGTTGAGGAGGTGACGATAGGAATGGCGAAGGAGCTGGTGAGGGGATGGCGAGGAGGAAAGTGACTTCAGCCTAGCAGCTAATATTAAAAGAACAGAGGTTTCAGTGGAGGCAGGAGATCCTTATGGAATGAACAGTAAGGCGTTAGCAGTCAGTCTCTTATGGATAAAAACACTCAGTAAAAAGGCCAAGAAGGTAAGATAGAATTGGTTGATAAATGTACAGACTCTCAAATTTGAGATAGAGGCATTAAACAACACAGACTACTTCATTCAGTATACCGCTGATGTGAAAGATTTCAATTTTAAAGGTTACACTGATTCTGATTGAGTAACTACGGCCGCCGGATAATAACACGGCCGCTTCCGAATACGCTTACGAATGTAAAGGGGCTCTAGCGGCCACTAATTAATTTACATATAAGGAGCCGGTGTACGCCTGTAATCTTATGCTGGCTTAAGCAACCTTTGAATCACATCTGATAGCATGTCTAAAAATCAGTGAGAAGTGCAGGCTTCTCCAGAGTGTGATAATTCCATCTATAAAGTGATTTATAGTTATCATTAGACTGACTGTGTGACTGTGTGTAAGAAATCCCGCTCCTCGCGGATCCTTTACCCCTATTCCTATCTCTTATGTAATCAATAGGATTAGCAGCCCTTGGCTACACACAACTATATAGACTGGAGTTTGCAAATACTATTCATAACTCAGCTTGAATACTATTATACATTTAATCTCTATATTTTATCTTTCTACTGTGAATACTTTTAGTAGTTAATAGTATATATCATACTAAGCTGTAAATACTTAAATAATTATCTATAAGTATTTATTCTTACATTTCAAGCTCTGTCAGTCAGTAATCATTAGACTGGCCGCCGGGACCATGAATTTCACATTTGATCCCATTTGGTCTGGTCTCATACATTTCTTAGCATGAGTCTCACCAGGACCAAGTCTTAAAAAAATCTGAAAATGAATCATTTCTGAGAGAAATGATGTGAAAAATAATCAGATTTAATTCAAGAACAGTGAAATGAGAGTAATTTCTCAGAATAAACTGTGAAAAATAATCATTCTTTTAAAATCAGAATAAGACTGAGACTGAAGATTAAATTCAGTCTCATTCAGTTCATTCAGTGATTACTTATATAATCAGAATTTAATAATAATTATTAATAATGCTTATGAAATAACTAAATATATTCTTATACAAGTTTATTCTTCACTTTCTTATAAAAACTACACTTTTCTGATATACTGTAATCAGAGATATTAAACTGTCTGATAATTTTATATTTTATAATCATGAGTTTCTTAATTATTTCTTCTTATAATTGTCTTCAGTGATAGTAATAAATATCTCAGCTTAAGTTGAACTTTCACTTCATTTTTATCTTTATTAATGAAATTATCAGAATATTATATATTATCAGTGTAATAGTTGAATATATACTCTCAACAATTTTTTATAACTCTAGAATTGATTTAATATATAAATTTATTAAATTATCTTGAAGATAGCAGTTAAATTCAGTTTTATAAGTATATAGTTTTATCTGATTTTCAGTTATAATCAATATATATAAGTTCTGTTTCAAAGTTAGTATTATAGTTCTATATAATATAAAGTGTTATTAAAGATTATTATTTACTAGAGAATTGTATTTCACTGTCTTTATATCTTTAATATCTGCTTATTCAAATCTCTGATAGTTGATATTATAGTAGTCTTAGATTAATTTAATATATAAGTCTCATTTCTTCTCTATTCAATCTTGAGAAGTGTAGATATTAACTTAATAAGAGAGATCTAGTAGAGCTGCTATAATATAGTACTCTGTAAAAGATTGTTCAGTTTTACTATAATAATATATTAGTTTATTTCTTACAGTAATAATAGTCTATACTATAGCATTATCTCAGACTGAATTTCTTTTTAAGTGATTCAACTGCTTCTTAAGATGAGTAAATAAACTGTTATACACTTATCAGACTGACTGCAGTATTAATATATAAGTGATTAAGACTGTCTTTATTATCTTATAAAACTAAAATAGTAAATTAATTATATATTTTAACTGAGTTTATTTTATATTAGAAAGTTTCAATATCTGAATCTTTTTCTAATCAGAGTATTACACTTAATAATTAATTATCTAATATAATTAAAGAGTCTGAATAGTTATCTTATATATTAAACTTTATTATATTCTAATATTCTGTATTATATTCAGTGATATAACTGATTTATTTATTTATTGAATATTATAAAATTATTATTATTATTTAAAGAAGATATAAATTATATTAGCAATGTTTTAAATCTGTAATATTTAAATTATTAGTTAATCTATTTAAAATTAACAGTAGTATTATTAAAAAGCATTATTAAAAAACAATATTAAAAAGTATTATTAAAAAAATATTATCTTTTATAAAGTGAATATAAAAGTTACTTAAGTAATCACTTTCATCTCATTCTTATCTCAAGAATCAGCTATCTTATTATTCTTTATCTTGATATTAAGATTCTTTATCAGTGTTTATATCACAAGTTGAATTATATAAATAATATAGAAAATATAATCTTATTTATTATTTTAGAAATGCAAAGTTAATTTTTACTCTAAGCTATTTATTATAATATAGTTATTTACAGTATTATCAGTTATAATTGTAAGAAGACTGAGACTAATATCTTAATAGTTATTTTTAATCACAGTTATTAATATCTCTGTTATATAATTCTCAGTATAACTACTGATTAATGATTTAAATTTAATTAATATCTCTTAATAAGTTCAGTTCTTATTAATATAATAACATATAACTCTTATAAATGTAAGATTATTTATACTAGTTTATACATTCACTGTGAGAGACACTCTTTAATGATTCTTCAACTCTGATTCTAGATATTGTATATTAACTTTATAGTGTATCTTAAGATTGAACTGAAGACAGAATTAATGTAAAATATAAAGATTTGAATTAAGTATTTAAAGAAGTGTTCAGAATTCAGAGTTTTTAATTAATTGAAGAGAAAGATTCAGAGATATATATATATAAAGTAATTATTTATAAAAGTTATCAGATAAGAGTTATAAAATCAGAGTACTAGTATATGATTATTTTCATATGATTTTCTTCAAATTAGAAAGTTAGTGTTATTAAAAATCATTATTTAATAGAGTAACTTATCAGCTCAGTAGTAATTTTCTGATTATTTTTCTTTTATTATCTGTATTCTGATAACTTCAGATGTTGAGAAATTTCTTCAGAGCTATAATCAGTTTATAATGAATATTTCTGAATGAAGTTACAGTGATTATAGCAGAGAGATAAGTCTTTAGTAATCTATAATACAATCTATTAATAATTATTCTATAGTTCATCTCAGTATTTATGTTGAGTTTTTTATAAATTTTATAACTTGAAATCAGATATAAAGAATAAAGTAATTATTTATCATAATTGAAAGAGAGTATTCTATATTAAATTGTAAATAATATAGACTTTGTAATTCACAGTGATTTCTTAAAGAGTTTATAAATTTTCAATAGAAGTAAAAGAAGTGAAAGAAGTGAATTCAGAAGATATAATAATAATTTAAAAAAGATAATAATTTATTTTTAATAACTGATCACTGATATGTATAAGAAGAATTAATATAAGAGAAAATAATCTTCTTTCTTAGCTTAGTTATAATTTTAGTACTAACTCAGATTGAATATTATTGATGTATAAAAGTAAATAAATAATCTTGATTAATCTCTATCATATTTCTTGAAATATATTAATATTATGAAAGAGAGTGTTATTAAATTACATTATCAGATAATATCATTAAAAATATATTAATATTATAAATATCAATATTGAAAAAATGTTGATACTTATATATTATAGTGACATGATAGTTGAATATATATATATATATTATTTCTGATATTGATAATTGATTACAACTTGTACAATAATTTTTGAAAACTTAAAATTAATTTCAATTATTAACTAATAGTTATAAACTTATAACTAACTAATATAAAAAGAAAAAAACTTTTTCTACTTATTATCTTTCTTCTCTTTCTTATTCTTCTTATTATTCTTTATAATTCACTTCTTATTTTTATTCTTCTTCTTCTTCTTCTCATCTGAGATAATAATTATCTCAAAATCTCTCTCTACTGTCTTCTCAGAGAAGGGTTTCTGCTACTCTCTCTCAGCCAGGTTAATCTGTGTCTCAAAATCCTGCATTTTCTGATCTGCTGTCTCAGGTTCTATCTCAGTGATAAGTGAATTAACATGCTCAGAGAGCAGAACTGTCTTCTTAATATTCTGAATCATGAAGCACATTCAAGATCTGAACAAGGCCTTAATCTTCTTCTTCTCTATCAGCTTCTGCTAATCAATTAGAGAACAGAAGTGTTATTAAAAATTATTATCTTTTAATAAAAAACTTATCAGTTTTGACTTCTTTATCTCTTACTTTAATATCTTCTTAATCTTCTTCTATTACTACTTATTTATAGTAATACTCTTCTTCTCTCTCTCTCTCTTCATCTTAGTCTTAAATTATTCTCAGAACTTCTTCTGATCTTATCACTACTGTATGAGACTCTTCACTGTCTTCTTTTTCAATCTCTCACAGATGATATTATTTGTATTATTTTTATACTTAGTTCAGTCTAAATCTATCAGAAGTGTTACTTAAAATCATTATTATTTTACTTTCTTACAGAGTCTCTTTAAGGTATTATAATATATCTTACAATCTGTCTTCTCATACTTTAATATCTTCTTCTTCTCTCTCTTCAATCTGTGACAGCACTCATGCACCTTGATGATTCACAGAACTGCAGAATATTTGAAGAAGAATGATATAATTAGTTTTAATGAGTGTTAAGAGAGAGATGAAAACAGGCAATGATATAATAATAATGATAATAATAATGATAATAATGATAATGATAATAATAATAATAATGATGATAATAATGATGATAATAATGAAAGAAGAAGTGTATCAGAATATATTATTAACTTATCAAATATAAAGAGATAAAGAAACTATTAACAGCTTTCAGAGATGTACAGAAACAGCTACAGTGTTACATAGTAATATTATCTTCATTCAATGCATACACTATTGATATTCTTTGTATGCATTTATTATATAATCTATATTAGAAATACATGTAGAAAACAGATCTTTATTACTAGAGAGAATAATTGCAGTGATTCTCTGTTTTTATATTATAAAGATAAGTTATTCTCATTTCTTTCTTCTCTCTTTTCTCTTCTTCTTCAACTCATCACTAAGTTCAAGCTGATATGAAAACTATTAAAACACTTATAGAAATTCTTAAATTAAAGAGTATAGACTAATTAAATTTTAAATACAGATGAATTAAATTATATTTAATAATACTAATTATTTATCTCTTTCTTAATAAAATAATAGTCATATCTTTCTCTCTCTTCTCAAATGAAATATAGTCTGTGAAAAGCAAGTATCATACTAGATTATAATAATCAACACAGTCTCAGCATGCAGAACTGTATACACACAGTGCATGCTGAACTGAGAGACTGTGTGAGTTGTAAATCAACAGCAGCATCTCAGAGAGAGCTGTGTGATGTGAAAAAGCTATAACTCTCAGTTATATATACAGAGAGTGAATCACTGCAGTAAGTGTAT